GAGGCAGAGATCAGGAGGATTGAGGTTCAAAGCCAGCCCCAGGCAATTAATTCTGTGAAACCCTATCTCGAAAAAATCCATCACAAAAAAGGGATGGTGGAGTGGCTCAAGGTGTAGGCCCTGAGTTCAAACCCCAGTACCACACACACAAAAAAAATAAAACAGTTGGCTAATCAAACAAAAACACTATGTGGAGACAGCTGAAGAGGCAATGCTGTATGGATTAGAGGGGTTTGAAAGTCAGCATGGCACTCCAATAATCTCATAGGCTAATAAAGGAAATGGCAAAAGCACTTAACTATAGAAAAAGTATGATAAATGCCACAGAAGAGATCTGGTAAAAAGACAAAGTTCAGAATACTGAGAGATGATGTACTAACCCTGTCCCAGAAAGCCAGTTTGATTTCACCTTAACTCAATCCATACCATTTAATAAGTTCCCAAACTAAATCTCCTATAAGCTGGTCATGGTGGTGTAGAACTGTAATCCCAGCACTCAGGAGACTGACGGAGGACAGTGGAAAGTTCAGGGCCAGCATGGGGTACATAGCAAAACCCTGTCTCAAAAAATAAATAAATAAATAAATCTCCTACAAAAAAAGTCCATGTGAAAAATATATAAGGATGAGGACCAGGTAGGGCAGGCCATATTAGGACAGTCAAAGATGGCACAGTGACTTTCTGGTCACTTATCCAGCTAGTACCACATGAGAAGTATATCCAAGAGTGTGAATATTATTATCACTCTTATTATTATCAGTCTCTTCACTAAAACATAAGCTTTCTCAGAATAGGGATTTGGTTTCGCTTATCCCTTAAACCTAGAACAGGTCCTGGCACTCAGTATCTGTTAACTGAATGCTATGAACATTCCACTCATAGTGTTTTATACATGAAAACTGTCAGCTAAGCCGGCGCCAGTGGCTCATACTTGTAATCCTTGCTACTCAGGAGGCAGAGATCAGGAGGACCTTCTTCCTGGGTTATTATCATTATTGTTATTACTATTACTATCATATTATTGTTGCACTGGGGGTACTTGTGGCATCTACAAAAGTTTTTATAATATATCATAGTTGAATTCACCTCCTCCATCATTTCCTTTTTTTTTTTTTTTTTTTTGGAATATACCACATTCAACTTTTATTGACCGTGGGATGGAGCAGGGATAAAAATCCTGGGAGCCTGGCTAAGACACCTCCCTGAGCACCCTTCCTCTGGTTGCTCAGAGGCTCCCAGGCCAGCTCACATAGGACACGGGTCAGGTGAGACATCTCACCTGACTATGGTAGTGGTTACCACATGGCAGCCTTCAATATTGCCACCCAAAATCTTCTCTCTTATCTTAGAGCAGGGTTGCCTGACTTCATAAAATCTTTGAACAGAGAATTGTTTTTATCTTATGAAAAGGTTAAACTAAACCAAGAATATACAACAGTGACTATGTGATCATCAAAGTCTACACTATTTCCTACTGGGCTCTTTCCAGAAGAGATTTGCTGACTCCTGTCTTTTTTTTTTTTTTTCATTTTTCTTTTATTATTCATATGTGCATAGAAGGCTTGGTTCATTTCTCCCCCCTGCCCCCACCCCCTCCCTTACCACCCACTCCGCCCCCTTCCTCTCCCCCCGCCTCAATACCCAGCAGAAACTATTTTGCCCTTATTTCTAATTTTGTTGTAGAGAGAGTATAAGCAATAATAGGAAGGAACAAGGGTTTTTGCTGGTTGAGATAAGGATAGCTATACAGGGCATTGACTCACATTGATTTCCTGTGTGTGGGTGTTACCTTCTAGGTTAATTCTTTTTGATCTAACCTTTTCTCTAGCTCCTGGTCCCCTTTTCCTATTGGCCTCAGTTGCTTTAAGGTATCTGCTTTAGTTTCTCTGCGTTAAGGGCAACAAATGCTAGCTAGTTTTTTAGGTGTCTTACCTATCCTCACCCCTCCCTTGTGTGCTCTCACTTTTATCATGTGCTCATAGTCCAATCCCCTTGTTGTGTTTGCCCTTGATCTAATGTCCACATATGAGGGAGAACATACGATTTTTGGTTTTTTGAGCCAGGCTAACCTCACTCAGAATGATGTTCTCCAATTCCATCCATTTACCAGTGAATGATAACATTTCGTTCTTCTTCATGGCTGCATAAAATTCCATTGTGTATAGATACCACATTTTCTTAATCCATTCGTCAGTGCTGGGGCATCTTGGCTGTTTCCATAACTTGGCTATTGTGAATAGTGCCGCAATAAACATGGATGTGCAGGTGCCTCCTGACTCCTGTCTTATGGAGCTAGACACATTCCTGGTAGCAGGCTATAGTAGAGTAGAAAGCTCTTGTCCTTGTTTGGAAAGGAAGGCTCGTGAAAGTACAATCAAGAGAGAGAAGGAGTGTGTGTGTGTGTGTGTGTGTGTTGGGAAGGACGTGAGTGTATACTTGTGCTATGGCATCTCTAGGCATCCAGAGTGATTAGAGCTGCACCTGCTCGTAAGGGCTGATCCAGCTGTCAGCCAATTCCCGCAGGGTGCTGTACCGTCGCTCAAACTCCTCCTTGCTGCAGTGCTGCAGGAGTCGACCCACCTCCTCTGTGAGAAGTGCCACTGCCAGGTGTTTATCTATGGTCTCCCTCCACTTGCTGCCCAGGACACTGTCTAAACTGGTGGCACAGCCTGCTGTCCACTGAGCCTGCAGCATGTCTGGCTGGAGCACTTGGTGGCGGGCACTGAGCATGGCCAGGATGTGACGGCAGGGCAGGTGGAAGGCCTGGTTAAAGTAACAGCTGCAGCTGGCAGGGGGCTGGGGCTGCACCTTGTGGGTGTCCTCTAGGATATGTATGTTCATCTTTTCTGAGCCAGAGCCAATGAGGTGCAAGCTCTCCCAGGCAGAGCTGGGCTGCTGGTCCTGTGCAGATGGCATTGAGAGAGTGTTGGATGCGAGCTTCTACCAACTGTTCTACTTTGGGGCTTTCAGGGCTGACATCTGAAGGGGTACGATTGTTCTGGGGACTCCCCACGCTAAAGCTTGCTTTGTCTCCAGGGTTCTGCTGCATATAGCGGAACAGAGAGGCCATTCCTTGTTTCTCAGAGGGTATGGTGCCAAAGAACTGAGGATGCGGGTGGTGACCTCGAGGCTCTGGAAGTATCAGCTGCTCTGGGCTCAGCTTCTCCAGCGGTGGGCCAGCCAGATGCGGTCGTTGGGCAGCCAGTGTGAGTGCAGCTCAGGCAGCCGGGCTGGGGGGATGCAGTTGCTCAAGAGGGTGTACAGCTTCCTCAGGTTGCCTGATGTGGCTAAGCACATTGTGCTCTGCAGGGAGGTCAGGAGCAACCTTTCCACAGGCTGTTTGAGGGACAGCTGATAGAACTTGCCCTGGAGGAACTTACAGATGTGGAAGGCTGAGAGCAAGACCTCTGCTGTGGGGAACTCCATGGTTAGGGTGGGCAGCACGAGGAAGTGGGGATCCACCAGGATGGTGCAGACTCTCTCCCATGCTGGATTAAACTTCTTGAACACCTGGAACACCTGAGCCAAGCCTTCTGCATCCTCTTTGGCAGGGATGGCGAAGTAGACTGCCCGGGTAAGAGGCCCCTCCATCTGCACTCGAGGTCCATCCACCAGGAAGGTTATAGGTCCGGTGGATAAATAAGACCTCAGGAAAATGGGTAAAGATATCTTGCATAAAACAGCTCTGGTAGTTGAAGGTATACACCTGGGTCCGTCATTCTCCTTTATCCCTCTTCCCCATATTCCTGGAATAGTTTCAACTCTGCCTGGGTTTGAATGCCCTTTCCTAGTTAGGACAAGGTAAATTCTTCTTCTATCCCTTATGTAGAAAAGTACCTTCCTAATTAATTATACAGACTTGTAGCAGTCCCGTGATATAAATCAAGCCCCATGACATCTTAGGAATGCCCAAGCTCCTGCGACCTGGGAGAAGTGAAGGAACCAGTTCTGCGGATGACCAGGAGGGTACTGGAGGCCAGCGTGCGCCAAGAATGGACCTATAGGATTCCACTACGAACTGTTGTTTAGGTTAAGGCGAAACCCTTATGTATATACACACACACACACACAACCACGTCCCCCACTCCAGCGCTCGGGGGCACCAGGTTTCCAGAGCCCGCTGTGTCTCTCCGCTCAGCCATTCTCTATCAGTGAAGTTTCTTTCCCGCCTGTAACTCAGGTGCTCCAGCCTCTCATTCTTGAGTGTTCTGAGAGCAAGAACCCATTAACGCTTCCGCGGATTGCCCGTGACAGACTTAAGGATTCAAACTACATAAAACACAGCCGTGTAAATCCTCAGTAAAGTTTATGACGATGCTCAATACATACGGGTGGTTAACTATGAAAAACACCTTTTTTTGGGTGGTACTGGGGTTTGAACCCAGGGCTTCGTGCTTGCTAGGCAGGTACTCTACCACTTGAGCCATGCCCCCCAAGTCACCAGAAAAGTTCCATTCAGGGAACCAGCCAGAACACAGAGAGAACAGGACAAAGGAGAAAGTTATTCTAGAAACAAGAATGTAGTCAGAAAGACAAACAGGAAAGAACAAATCCATACACAGACGACTCAGAAAAGGGCAGGAGGAATCTGAGACGTTGAAAGCAAAGCCAAGCAGAATTTCGAAAAGGAACCTATCTTCACCAGAGACAACCCCGAGAATAAATAAAGAATAGCTATTCCGGTTCTAAAGCACAAATTCCACTTTTTTTTTTTGCAGTACTGGGGTTTGAACTCAGGGCCTCACACTTCCTATGCAAGTGCTCTACCACTTGAACCACGCCTCCAGCCCCACTCAGATTCCAAAATTATTCACATCACTCTACCCGCTAGGTCACTAACTTAACAGGAGACTAGTACCCAGAATGCAACACGCGCCTCTGCGCACGCGCCCGGCTCAGGGCACTGCATAGGCGCCTACACTCCCCAGAGTGCACCGCGACGCCCTTCCCACAGCTAGTCTTCGGAGTGCCGGTTTAGGAAGAGACCTCTACCAGCTCACCTCGGAGCTCCGGGAACCCTTCAGCACCTGCTTGGTGAGCGCGATCACGTCGGTACCACAGGTATTCACCTTCTCCGTGAGAAGCCCCTTCACTGACTGACCAAACCGTGCTTGCGAATCCGGCGTCCCAGTCGCCATTATCTCAACTAGTGAATGCTTCCGTACCGACGATGGCGAGTCGCTGCGGCCAAAAGAGATGTAAAGCGGAAGGAAATGAGGTGTGTCTTTTCCGATCGTGGGAAAAAGAAGGGACGCATGCGCCTTGCGAAGGTTGCTAACTAAATTCATTTAAAACATTCATGATAGTCCTAAGGAAGACAAGTCTCAGCCAAGCATCTCAGGAGGGGGTGGAGGATAATTTCAGCAAATCTGTGGGTTAGAATCAGAAGGGCTAGATTACAGTCCAGATTCTACCACTTAGTAATTGTGTGGCTGCAAATAAATCAACCGCTCCTCATCTGTAAAACAGAAAAAATAATGTTAGGGGCCGGATGTAGCTCCGTGCTAGAGCACGTGCCTAACGTATTGGAAAGTCCATCCCCAGCACGGTAGTAATTATTAATAATAATAATAACGTTAAAGTCTACACGGTGTTACGAGAGTGAACTGAGATCATTCAGTTTGATTTCACAAACATTTCATGAAATATCACACACTTTAGTGGGCTAGGGATAGAGAAAGAAATGAGATACAGTCCTTGTCCTCACTGGGTCCCCAGACTGATGAGGTAGACAGGCTTGTAAACGAACATGAACTAGGGAAGTTTGGCTCCGGTGATTCACACCTGTAATTTTAGCTACCCAGGAGGCAGCGATCAGAAGGATCGCAGTTATAGTTCTGATCGCAGTTATAGGCCAGCCGGGGCAAATAGTTCTCGAGACCCTATTTCGAAAAAACTCAACACAGCTGGTGGAGTGTCTCAAGTGGTAGACTGCCTGCCTAGCAAATGTGAGGCCCTGAGTTCAAACACCAATACTGCAAAAAAAACAAAAAACAAAAAAAACCCTAGGGAGAATCCCCTAACAGGAAAATTGGCAAAAGACTCAAACACTCAATTCAAAGAAAAATAAATTCAAACGGCCAATAAATGTGAAGAGTACTCAACATCACTAATAATTTTTAATGATAATCTCTATTCCAAAACCAAACTTTGGAAATGAATTAATATGAATAATGTCTCAAGTAGTTCCATTTCTTTCTTTTAGTTAAATTCACAGGAGAATAGTATTATTTTGAAATTTTACATTTTTTTCAAACTTACCTGTACCAAGGGGAAAAAGGGAGAACAATGGAAGGGATGAACCAAACCAGAGTGCTTACTATGCATATATGGAACTGTCACAACGAAACTCCTTGTACAACTATCATATACTAATAAAAACTATTTAAAAACATGAAAAAAATTACCTGTACGCAGTATCAACATTATTTTTTTTCCAACTGTCGAGACTTATGACTGACATTTTCATTTAATTTTTTTCCTAATCAACTTTACTGAGATATAATTTGTGTATAATAATGACATTTGTGTGTGTGTGTGTGTGTGTGTGTGTGTGTGATGTTGGAGATCAAACCCAAAGCCTCACACATGCTAGGCAAATAACCTACCACTGAGCTATATCTGCCCCACCCTTGACATTCTTTTGAAGTGCAAAATGTGAAACATACACCTGTCTACACCCCCACTGTTAAGATACCAAACATTTTAGTGCTGGGGGCATGGCTCAAGGTGGCAGGGCACTTACCTAGCATGCCTGAAGCCCTGGGTTCAGTCCTCAGTACTGAAAAAGACAAAAACAAAACAAAACATGTAGACCATTGTCATCACCCCCAGAAATCCACCACTCCCTCTACCTCCCACTGCAGGCAATGACTATTTGCTTTCATGAACTGTAGGTCAATTTGTATTTCTAAAATGTTGTATAAATTGAATTACACAGGAAGTACTTTTTTTTTTTTTGGTCTGGTCTCTTTCAGCATAATAACTTTGAGAATCTTCTACACTGTTGTATTTAACTAGTCTGTTTCTTGCCGAGAAATATTCCACTGTATGGATATAGCTCACTTTGTTTAGCCACCTACCTGTTAATGGATATTGTGAACAAAGCTGCTAGAATGTAATACATAAATCTTTATGTAGGTTGTTTTAATTTCTCTTAGGTAAGTATTTAGGAGTGGAATGGCTGAATCATATGGCAAGTGTTCAACTTTTCAAGAAACTGCCAAGCCACTTTCTTTTTTAAAAAATTCAGGGCTTCATGCTTACAAAGCAGGTGCTCTACAAATTGAGCTGTGCCTCCAGCCCATGCTGCTCTGTTTATTTTGGAGATGGGGTCTCATGAACTATTTTCCTGGACTTGCCTTGAACTACAATCCTCCTGATTTCAGTCTTCCAAGTAGCTAAGGTGAGCCACTGGTGCCTGACTAAACCACTTTCAAAGTAGTTTATCATTTTACATTTCCAACAGAAGTGTATAATACTCCAGTTGCTCCAAATTCACAAATGTAGGAAAAGATGCATTTTTCTGTAGCCATGATAACAAGTAGCCACCTATGTTGGACAAACCAGCCACTGACAGGTAGCCTCCATGATCCCCTCCTCCTGATGTTCATGCCTTGTGTGATCCCCATCTTTCAAGTGTGGGCAGGATTTGTGACTTGTTTCTAACCCCTAGAACATGCACAGGTGATAGGAGATACATAATCATGTTGCGTAAGATTGTAAAGCCCATCTTGCTGGAGTCTCACCTTGGTGATCAACTATAGGCACCATCCAGTTACTGAGGGCTGAGTCTCCAACTGACAGAAAAGAAAATGAAGCTCACAGGGAAATAATCAAAAGAAACAGGATACTAGTAACTAGGTGAATGAGAAAGATTCTTCTCTAGTGGAGCCTCCAGACGAGAGCTGGCCCCTTGATTGTAGCATTGTAAAACTCTTAAGAAAGCCCAGCAAATCTGAACCTGGATTCCTATCCCACAGAAACCAGAAGATAATAAATGTGTTGTGGACTGGGGATGTAGCTTAGAGATAGATTATGTGCTAGGCTAGTACTGAAGAAAAAAAAAAAAGTTGGAACCTGGGTATGGTTGTACATCTGTAATCCCAGCTACTCAAGAAGCATAGGTAGGAGGATCGTGACTGAGGCTGGCCTCAGGCTAGAAGCAAGACCCTATCTGAAAAATAAAGCAAAAAAGGGCTGGGGGCATCCTTTTGACAAATCTGGATCATTTTGAAGACCCTCACTTGGCAGCATTCTATTGAGCCTCAGATCAACAGGTGCACTCACTGGACCTCTTGGGACCAAACCTTGCCCTTTGGATCAACTGTCATGTTGGTCTGAACTAAAATTTGAATTCTTATTAGTTCAATTGAGTTCATGTTGCTGGATTTATTTAGTTATCCAATCATATGTAACCAAATGGGTTTTTGAGTAAGGTCTTAGAATAAGGCTTTGTATAGGGTAATGAGACATAGATCTTTGTACTAGGTAATTTGGCCTCCTGGTGTTCCCTCTTTTTGTTAAATCTAGATTTTGTATAATTATTAGAGATTTTGTAAGTGTTCTTGCCACTCACCTGGTTATTCTCCTGCTGCTTGTCTCCCTTTTTCTCCTGTTTATTATATTTCAAAGGTATTTTGCTTTTCCTAGAATTATCTTGTTTGTTTTTGGGCAGAAGAGAGTGTTCCATAGAGAGTGGGCAGAGTCTTAGGCATGACAGTCTCCAACTCAACCTATGCTAGCCCTGAGAGTCAATGACAGATCTGTTAGACTGGAGATTGGCTAACATTACCAGGAATACCTTTTGTTAAATAAAACCACCCAACATTTTTCTACTTGTTAATTAAGTAATTGTGAATTATTGCACTTTTTTCATATTATCACCTAATGCTACAACTTTCTTAGGCAGTAAAGAAAAATCTCCAGATTGCTTCTGTAATTCAAGAAGTGCCTGCTATTGCCGGGCACCCACCAGGCGCTCACACCTGTAATCCTAGCTACTCAGGAGGCAGAGATCAGGAAGACCGCAGTTCAAAGCCAGCCCAGGCAAATAGTTGGTGAGACACTATCTTGAAAAAAATCCATCACAAAAAAGAGTTGGGGAAGTGGCTCAAAGTGAAGGCCCTGATTTCAAGCTCCAGTGCCGCAAAAAAAAAAAAAAAAAGTACCCATGACCAAATTAGAACTTTTAGACATCAGTATTAAATCTTCATGTAGCATTGTTTGTTGATTTGCCTCTCAATAAATATAAAATCTGCCAATATGAGACTTGATAAAGTTAAATTGGATTCTTGTGGAATCCAATTCCTTACCAAAACTCACTCGTTCAAATGATTTAATTGTGGCCCTTTCTAGATCATACAAAATAAATCAAATATAAGTGTAGATTACATAACCTGAGAGATGGTATGCATTTAAAATAATTAAATTATTTAAAATGGTACTTTAGGGAGAAGGCCATGGAGGCAGAGGAGGCTGGGCAGGTGAGAGGAAGAAGGAAGTGGCTACCTGGTGGTCATTGAAACACAGGCAATGGCCCAGGTCCTGGGAGAATCCCTGGGTTATCACTTGACACATTTTGAACAATACCTTCTAGAGAAGTGCTATACACTCTGCAATCACCAGATATATCAGAGTTTTCACAGATATTTTTCATGTGATCCTGTCTTCTTTTTTTTGGCAGGAGGAGGGGTGGTACTGAGGTTTGAGCTCAGGTCCCCACGCTTGCCAGGCTTGAGCCCATCCTCAGCCCTTTTCTGCTTTTAGTTATATGCTTGTAATTCCAGCCATGCAGGGGGCAGAGGAAGGAGGATTACAGTCCAAGGTTGGTCTGAGCAAAAAGGAAGAGACTCTACATGAAATATAACAGAAGGAAAAAAAGAACTAGGGCACAGCTCATCAGGTAGTAGAACACTTGCTTAACAAGTACTAGTTCAAACCCCAAAAGGAAAAAAATGTAACAAAAAACTTATATAAATGCTTATTTAGGTTGTTTAAAGTACAAAGGGCTATGGGTCACAGATCTTCAGCCTAAGAAGGAATATTGACTTCCTCTGTATCTGCTGAGGGGAAAGTGAAGTACTGTCATCTTTGAGCCTTGTAAGCATAAAAGAGATTAGAACGCTCATATAAGTCAGGCCTTGCTATGCAGTAGCTTGTGAACGGACAGGTTGAATGAATGTCTGGGTGACTGTAGGACAGCTTGATTGTGGGGCTGAATGTGACTGTACACAAGCTTGATCCACCTGTAGTGGCTGGTAGCAAACCTACTAAGTCATCAAAAGTGAGATCGCAGCCTTACTGTGCATTGGACATGAGAACAAAGACTGTTTCAGCAGCAGACATTGCTTTACTTTTCATGTGTTTTCTGTTTCTCTCCTTAACCCCTTTTAGTTTGCATTTATTTTTAGTTGCTTCTCAAGTCAGAAAACTTCAGGAAGGTTTCCCTGTGCATTTGGACCAGATGAGTGTTTGGTGCTATGAACAGTTTTCCATATTGTCCAAACTAATTTGTGTAGATTTTTGCATGGAAAAAAAATGATAAGTTTCCCTCAAAATAGACTATGTTGTAGAACACAAGTTGACGTAATAGTATAAAACAGAAAAATGTGTTTTAAAAGGCTATTCTTTTTATTTTCAGAGACAACATAAAGATCCTTACATGAAGCAAATATGCAACATAGATTTTGTTGAGTCCAATAAGGAAGAAAAAAAATTTCCATTGTGATAGAGTATTGTGCTGTGTTTGAATGTTACTTGTTTTCAAACTTTGCTTTTATTATGAAAATGATATGGAAACTTCTAAAATGAAATTCAATATATATGTACTGTTGAATAAATACTGATAAAGAGAAAAATGCTATTTT